TCCGCCTCTCCGCTCTCAAAGACGAGATCTTGGCCGCCAGTCTCAGGAAGTCCCAGTCAAAGCCCTGGTTTGACACGTTCCCTAGGCTTTGCCGTCCTGCGTCGTACTCTTTGAGGTAGTCCTGTGCCACGTCATACTCGCCCCGCTTGCGCAGCCCCGCCGCCGCCTGCTTGAAGTAGGAGCTGCTCGAGGCGGCCAGGTCGGCGGCCAGCTTCGTCCCGTCGTAGTTCGCCACGTGGCCAGCCTGGAGGAGATGACTTATCGGATGAATGCGCTAGGCTTCACCTCAGCTCTGACAGTTTAGTGTTATTGGTTAAAGGTGTCATGTTCAGGACTTTCACCTCCGAACAGATGTCGTTCGAGCTTCGCCTCAGCTCGTATGGGTCAAAAGTTGTGAAGACAGTCTGACGACAGCTCCTGTCACCGTTGCCATTTTCGTCACTCATGCAACGATGATCCTCCTTCGATGATTCTCGCGAATTACAGTTCCTGACATTTAAGCTCACAGGACCACACAACATCACCACTGGCCCCTTGTACCTTTGTCAGGGAGCCCCCTTGTTCCTTGATTCAGAAGGAAAAACTTCAGACTGAACACGTCGAAGTGGCTTCCAAGAACTGTGCAGCACGCTTTCGCCCCACTTGCCCACAGCAAGTCCGCACAGAGGGTATACGTGGCCTTTTCTTGGTCGAGATTCCGGAGAACGTGGTCGGAGAGAGAAGTCAGAAAGGAGTCAGAATGTGGGCAGGAATGAAGAGCACAAAAAGCAGGTACAAACAAGTGAGCTGAAATATAGGCAGAAAAGCAGGTAGGTCCAAGAGCCTTGTCCGCGCCGCCCACCTGCGCCAGCATGCCCATGTGGCCCTTCGCCCTCTCCAAACACAGGGCCCGGTGGCGCACGACGTCATCCCAAACTCCCACCCGGTCGTGCTCCCAGGACGGCCACCGGTGCTGCCACGTGTCCAAAAGATCGCCCACTTGCCGCAGGGGGTCCTTATTGTCGGGGTTTAGCAGCCCCCCGGGGAGGGAGCGGCCGCTTGAGGAGGGAAGGGGGCCGGTGCGGGCAGTGACTGCGGCCAGCTGATCGCCGGAGGAGCTGCTGACGAACGAGAGGAATTCGTCGAACTCGACCATGATCTGAAGCTGCTCCGCCTGCATTCGATGAGATTACGGTTTCAGTGATCGTATCATTGCCACTAGCGGCTTCAAGCTCGATTTGGAAGACATGGGTTCAAGATTCTATTCATTCCATGCTAAACAGAAGCTCTCAACGTTGTCCTTCCAGGAAGGTCCAACTTGTGGGCTCCTTCTCGCCCTACAACCGTTGATCCTGCAAAAAAGTCTTGAGTGACCTCCGTCGGAAGGCCTTAAGCATCTGTAAATAAGACGGGTCTAGTACAGCTTCTAGGACGGTATAGGTGGCCGACTTCGGGGAGGATTGTCCTTCTGAGAGCCCACATGTGGAAACCGGTAACTGGCGATCTGCTAGGGGGAGGTTTGGTTTCGCGGAGAGCCCACATGCGAAAGAAAAACGGCGACGTCACCTGAGCATGCCGGGCCCCCACGGCGAGCGGGTGCAGCGCGCCCCACTTCCGGCGGAAGTTGCGGTAGCAGTTGGAGAGGTGGAAGCGCGCGCGATCGTACTGCCCCCCGCGAGCGCCATCGCCGTCAGCTGGAGGCCGAAGTCGTCGGTTAGCCGCGCGCGCTTCGCAGGGTCGTCCATCGAGGCCTCGAGGAACTCCTGGAGCGCCACGTGTTGGGTGGGGACCTGAGGGAATGAAACCAGGGTTTATGGGCTTTAAGGGTCGGGTTTGGAGAAGTCATAAGTAGGGAGTTTCAAGGTTGAGGGCTTTTGAGGATCAGGTTTGAGAATAACAAGAATTGACAAGACACAGGTTACTTGCGTCCGCTCTCGCAGATAGTGTGGGCACAAGTCGCACAGATTGTTCGGCTGCAGTCTCATCTTGAAAGCGGCTTGCACGGAAAGCCGCAGATACGGGTCCCACAGGCTGTTGTCGGCCCACAGGCTTCAGCGTGTCTGCATATGCCCTCAATAATGCGAACAACGTAAGCAAATTACCCAGCGGGCGAGCGGGAATTTTGAGAACGTGGCAGTCTCACCTTGGAAGCGCTGAGCACAAACAGCCGCAGGTACGGGTCCCGGTTTTCATCCGCCCACAGCTTCTGCGTGTCCGCGTCCATTGGGCGCCCGTGTGCGTCGTACTCGGTCACCTACAAGCAGACACAGATTCTGGCTATGCTCAAGATCGCAGCGCTACCGTCCGATGGATTGGAAGAATTTCAGTCCAACACCTTTAGCCTGGAGGTCGCCTATTCTGACAGCACAGGTTCTGCCACCTCGATGTATACGAACTTGACAATCCTGGCACCAAATGAAACGTCTGAAGCGTTCAATTCTGGACGTCAAACTCTGAAAGGGAGCGGTGCGATTGTTGGTCGTTTTCAACGCAGCCAATCGGTGCATTCCAGGATGTCAGAAATGTTGACGAGACACAGCTGCAATATCCTTAAGCCGTCAAACATACTACTGAGAGCTTCATCTTGATCTCGGAGAAAGCCAACTGCATCAAGAATGACCATAGAGGTTGACCTGGAGACGCATCTCCCAGCAAGATAAGGACAGCAGATAAGAAACTGTCGAATCGCCAGAGCCTCCGAAGTTCTGCGGTCCGCTTGCCTGCTCCAGCGACTCGTCCACCAGCTCCTGCCACCGGGTCAGGCTCTCCAGGCACTCCAGCCGCTGGTTGTAGCACACGTCCGCCTCTAGTTTGCTGTACTCTGGGGAATCTGCAGGCACCGGAGGAGACGTATGTCATTATCTTGCGGCAATGGTGAATTTCGACAGGTATTCAAGGAGCTTAGATATTAGTTTGTCCGGGATTTACGTGCTTCCTGGGAGAATTTGTGAAAGACAGGTACCTCCAAAGTTAAGAGCAATAATGTTCTGATTCTTTGGCAACTGGTTTGGGTCCCTCCGGTGGTGGCTGCAGACATTCGGCCCTGACCCGTCCCGAATCTGACCGGGAGACGGAACCCTGGGTTCTTTGGAGCACTTTCGAGATGGAGATTGTAACCTGCCATAAATGAAAGTTCAGCGAACAGGTTATGTAATCGCTGCGCAAAGAAAGATTCGACGATGGCAAACATACAACAATCGGCCTAGTGCCTGCAGAACGCGGTTGTTTCTCTTATCAACCAAGGACACGTGTCGTCACCTTGGTCCATCTCGTCCATCTCGTTGAGCGCCTTGTCGTACCCTTGCCAGGCCCGCGTGTAATCGCCCGCAATCTGCGCTTGCAAGGCCTCCCGCGTCGACTCCAACCGCGCGACTTTCTCCTGCAGTGCGGTCGCAGGTTTGGAGTTGCGACCCAAGTGTCGATGACTGTCACTTGGTTGTGTGGGAGTGCAGCTCTAAAGGTACAGACACTCTGTTGTATCAAGTCCATATGGAATACCATACCAGACAAGGACAATCTGGGATGTTTAAAGTCATGTTGTTCAGAAGATACCGTTGCTCTGCAGTCATTTCGTATCATCAATCCACGAACACTCTGCCAGCATTGTCTTATCGATGTAATGTTTGTAAGAGCTGGCCCTATGTGAATTTTCCAACCCGACAGGGGAACGTTTGATCCAGATACTTCTTGAGTCACCTTAGAGCAAGGATAAAGTCCTACAAAAACCAATGAACAAGCATCTGACAGCGAGCAGTGGCGTGTTCAGCCACTGTCTTTTCGTACTTCAAAGCAAGTGGGATGGGGAAAGTGGTCGGAACCCACAAGGCGCACGTGCTCTAACCGACCAACGTGCACTAGAATGTCAAGGAACGATTTCATAATCGACAATAAGTAAAAGATCTGAGATTGACCTGCAGGACACCCAACACGATGTCGTCCTCTCCAATCTCCCGATACAGCCTCGCCAGCTGCAGCCACGTCTCCTGCTCCTCTTCCCCGCCCTCTCCCTGGCCGCCACGTGGCACCGCCTGGCCGCCCCTCCCTTTCTGCCGCTTACTCCTACTCCCCCTCTCTTCCCCCTCGTCTTGCGACTGGTCAAGCAGCTGATTCTCGAGAACCAAGATTCCAGAATGGTAGTTCATCGACCGGAGGCTAGCGTCCCCTAGGCTGCGCGCTTCCACGCGCATCTTGGGATCTTCGAGACAGATTGCGTGCAGGCTCGCCACGAAGCTGGTACGCGCGCGCGTGCGTGCGAGCGCGGCCGCGACCCCCTCGCGCACCGGCCGCCTCACGTCGTTTTCCCCGTCTCTCAACGCGGTGCTCGGCAGAGCGAACGCCCCCCGGAAGAGTCCGGCGGACAGCGTCCGCGCGACGAGCGGATCGCGCTCCGCGAGCGCCATCAACGGCTTCAGGACGTCCTCCGTCTTGATCTGGATGTCCGGCAGCTCGCCCGTCCGGTACGACCGCATCATCGTCACCTTGTGCACGCGCGCGCCCGCCTGCGCGCTCGCGCGCGCCTCACGTCGGCGGCGCGCCCCGAGCACCCCCTGCAAAACCTGGCTGGTCCGCGGTTTGAGAATCCGTCTCTGCACGTTCGTCTGGGTGTCCCACAGCGCCCCGCCCCTGCGAGCCCCTCCCAAACCCTGGGTTACGCCCTGGGTCAACCCGACCTGGCTGAAACCCCCCCTAAACCCTCCCGACTGGGTTGCCATCAGCGAGCTGCTGACGAAGTCTCCCTGCGACAAAGACGGGGCAAACGTACCCCCCTGGGAGAGGGACTGCGACGGGCCCTGGGTCGCGCGAATCATTCCGGGGGGAAGCGGCTGCTGCTGAGTCCGTCCCCCCGTTTGCGTTTGGCTGGGCGCTGGGGCCTGGCTGCCGAGTTCTTGGAGCGTGGCAGTTTGGGATTGCGAGAAGAGGGGGGTCATCGGGAGGCTGCGGCCGGTGAAGGCGGTGTCGATATTGTACTCGGAGAAGTGGCACTCGGCTAAGGGCTGGTCAAAGAGGGGTCGACTATAGTCGGTGGATGCCTCGCACAGCTGCGCACAACCAAAAAAAAGAGAGCGTGATCATCTGCCTGCTGAGTATCTGCCTGGTCTCGGGTTGACATCTGGATCGGCCCACGTCGGTTAGGGCCAGAAGCGTCAATACGCGCTTAAGAGATCTGCTTTTGGCTTGCCAAGCATTGGGGAAATTCCTAACGGTAAAACCAACGAACGCAGAAGTATTCTTCTCATTATCGCTCGCCTGTTGTGCAACAAACTTGCAGCGTCGTCAAAAGGCTTAGGTGCGGTGGAGCGCATCAGCCAGGCCGAGAAAGAGAAGCATAAGACAATTACTTTGCCGTACAAATTACAAGTTCCTACAAGCAAGCCATGGTCTAAGCCTAGCGTCTCGCTTCTATCCTGCCCTACGAAGTTCTCTTCCGCCATCACGCAAATCCGCTCAAGTTTGTGGCGACCACCCGGCGTACGTTGAGCAGCATCTTGTCGCTGTACTGCGCCCACTTGTCCTCCAGCTCCGGCTCGTAAAGCCGCCCGAGCAGCTCCACGAGCCGCGCCGGCATCTCTTGCGACAGCTGTAGTCCCCAGAAGAATTGCGCCTCTTCCCGCAATTCATCGGCCGGGTCGCACAGCCCGGTCAGCAGGTGCCGCTGCACCTGGGGGTGGTCCGGCATGCCCTTTCCGTCGGGGGCGGGGCGGAAAAGGAACTCCAGGATGCGGTAGAACTCGCGCCTGCGAAGATGGAGTTGGAGAAGGTGACTCTTCGGTGACTGACATAAAGGACCGCCGCCGTCGTTAAACTGGCCAGAAAACGTCCCTTACTTCCGAGGAAAGTCAGAAGCTGTACTCCAAGGTCCTATTCTAATCGCGCCTGCACGGATGAGGATACGTCCAGCTGAACCACAAAGATGCCCTTTTCCTTTCTCAGAAAAGCGGACCGTTTTCTTTCTCGGTGGAGCGGGCCGAGAAAGGTGGTGAGGGTTGCAATCTACACCAACAGAGGTACATTGCATGTAAACACAAAGTGTGGCCGGCGCCGCGTTGTGGCAAGTCTAGCAGATCCTTATTCGCTCAAGCCCCTTGGATGCAAGCCGTTGGGCCCCTCCAACAAGCGATTACACGTCCTCGGTCGCCGGACAATGCTTACACCGTCTCCCACGCACCCTTTCACTGTCTCTTTCAACCACATCACATCAGACATCTCAAAGGGACGAACCTCAAGACTGACCCCGTCACACGCGGGAAGCTCCTAAATAACGAAACTGACGTCACGTCCCCGGTCTGACCTGCACTCGGGGTTGTCGTGGCGGCTGAACACCGGGCAGAGTATGGGCAGCAGCACGGTCTCGACCCTCTCCCGGCTGATGCTCGGGAGGATAGCCTCGAGAATCTGCAGCGTCTTGAGCTGCGCCTGTTCATCGCGGTGCTCCAGCAGGCTGCGCAGCGCAGGGGTCAGGTATTCGAACAGCTCCAGGAGGTTTGCGGCGTAACCCAACAGCATGTTGAGAACCTGGACACAAAGGGAAGGCCACGTTGTTAAGATACCTCTTTCAAGATCGAAGGCTAGTTCCTCTATGCACTTGCGGGTCGTTCCCTTTCCCCCGGAGGAGGGTCGCAGCTCGGGGGGTGAGGACTCGAACAACTCGGGGAGGTTCGCGGCGCATCCCAGCAGCATGTTGAGCACCTGCGGTTTGGATTTAGGGTCTGACGCAGATACAATGACTTATGTATTAAAGTAGGCCTCCAGTGAAGTCAGATGCTAATCTGTTTGTCCGTTTGCGCGTTGTCCTCTCTTTTCGCCTCGACGGAGGGGTTGAGATGCTGCACAGCGCCAGCACAGGTACTCAGAAGCTTGAAGAGATTGGCGGCATGACCCAGCGACATGTTGAGGACTTAGGACAGAAACAATGGTACAGTTCACAATGGGCTGTTGTAATCTGGATGCTATGCCCTTTGCCTACTAGCGTGCTGTATTTTCTAGTCCGAGAGAGGGTGCAGCTGAGAAATGGTGATCCCGGGATTTGATTCTTGGTTCTCGCAACGGCCGAGGCCCATTTTTAACAAGTCGCGAGCCCTCGTTCGTCTGCTCCATGCAGACTTGGAAATTACCCCCGGTTTGTATCCTGCCTGCTTTGGTTCGTGAGGGTTTGCCATGCAGGAGAGGTTCAAAACTCAAACGCGAGGCCTCTAAGCCCACACGTGATTGAAAGCTTGATTCAGATTTACAATCTTGGCTCCTACTACGGGAAGAGAGGACGTTGGTCTGCAGACATTTTGCGACAAGGACATCGCATATCCACCGGTTTTTACAAACGACGCGCGTCCCGCAATGGGCTTGCTCCACTCTCGCCCACATTCCGTCGGTCACACGACAGCTAAAAATCGAAGTGTTTTGACAAGGTCCAAAGTTTTTCGGACCAACAAGGTCAAGTGCGACCATACCAGGATCTTGAAGTCCCCGGGCAGCGACATGACGTCCCCGGCCACTTTGCTCGCCCACTTCTCCACGAACTTGGGGAAGCGTCCGCAGATCTTGGCGGCGATGTTGTAGAACGTGGCTTTCGTGGCGCTGTTCTCTCGGTAGAGGCTCAGCAGGCGTTGGTGGAGGGGCCGCTCCAGCAGGGACTGGTCGCGGTCCGGCGTCTTGTCGCGCTCAAAAAGGGCGGCGCCGATCACCTCCGCCGCCGCTTCGTACACCTGAGAGAGATGCGAGAGAATCTGGGGAAGAACGGAAGCGAAGGCCACGGAGCGGAAAAGGAAGTTTCATCACGCGTCCGGTGGAGATAAGTACACTCAGCCAAAGTCTCTGTGTCTAAAGCGTGCAGGACTCAGTAGATTGAAAAGGACCGGTTAGAGAGGGCTCCACATCTTCGACAACCTTTCAGAGACATGCAGACAAACGAACGTTTCGCCGAGTGGTTGAGAAAAGAAGGAAATGTCCAAGCGGGATGAGCTTGGAAGAGCTCCAACTGCCTGCACCTGAAGGCCCTCAAGCATTCAAGGGTCAGAATGAGCCACATGTCCTCACCTCCTTGGCCTTGAAGCCCAGGCACTCCAGCAGCCGACCATACACCTCCTTCTCCGGGATCGCCGCGTCTTCAATCGAGTCATATATCTTCATCCCCACCGCGATCAGCACCCCAAACAGCTGCAACCCCGCCGTCTTCTTGACCTTCGCATCGCTCCCGTCAGCCGCTAAGTACCGCAGGATGACGCGCTTGTCCACGCTGACGTCACTCTTCCATTCGGCTAGGAAGAGCCGGATGACGTCAATGTTGGCGGACAGGACGGCCCGCGTCGGGTGCGCGGACACGCGCATGAGGTGTCCGATGAGGTCCGTGGCCTTGGAAGGGTTCGGGGGTTTGGCGAGGTCCCATTGCAGGAGGACGATGCACACGTCACGGAGGAAGTAGTGGAAGGAGGCGCCGCCGGATCGGGAGGGGTCGGCCGTGAAGATCTGCAGAATGACGGCGCTGGTATCTTTGGTTCCATTTGTATTGATGCATTTAATGGCAGTCACCGGACTCATTTACATAAGCGAATGATGCACCCTGCCAACACTTGAGCAGGGTTGCTGACAGCCCTACAAGCGGAACCATTTGGTTACATACACTTGACTTTACTGACCATAAAAAAAGAAGTAACTGCTTGTCCGTTCCCTTTACGCACTGGTTCGAAGAGACTGGCTGTCGTCCCACACGCCTAGCACGCTATCACAATCTTTTGTCCGACTGACGTCACCGGACGTCGGCGGCTCACCTCAATGAGCGGCGCGAACCATTCCCGCTTGAACGGCTGGAAGAGCTTCCGCGCGCGCACGATCGCCTTCGCCAACAAGAGCTTCACGTTGATCGGCGTCGCGGGGCTTGTGAAGCTCTTGTGAATGGCGTCCATCCAGGGGGGCATTTCCGCGGGCTCCGCACCCCCCTGTTTCTGGTGCAGGTGCTCGAGCACCCTCAGAAGCACAGCCATCACCGGGTTCTGATCGAAGTCATCTTCGTCGAGCGCCGACGTCTCGACGACCGAATCTTCGTCGGCCGGCGCAGCCGGCTCGCCAAACCCTTCGTAAACCCCGGAGGGCGCGTCGGGAAGCATGCTCGCGCTCAGGTCCGACTGAGTGCCGCCCAACGGCAGACTCCCCCCCTGGCTCCCCGCCAAAACGGCCCCCCCGTCTGCGCCCAATCTTGCGCCTTGCCCCCCCAGAAAAGTGGAGATTACCCCGCCCCCCTGAGTGGCACTCGTGTTGTTTATGTACTGTGACGAAAGAGTGGCGTGCGCTGCCTGGCTGGCCGCTCCGGCTGCCATCCGCCGGGACTCTCTAGCCTTCCGCTCTGCCCGTAGCCCCCGGAGCGTCTCTCGAGCGGATCCCAGCTCGGCGGTTTCGACGTCGAAGTGGTCGTACACCTTGTCGCAGTCGACGACGTTCGACCAGAGGAAGCCCTCCTTGGCGCCTTCCTTGAAGAGGAACCGTGGGAAGAAGTTGGGGCCCTGGAAGGAGGACAAGATGACTTTTGGTTGGACTGTCTCGCTTGCAAACATAATTTTGAAATCAACCTAAGGCTTTTGCTCACTTCAAACTGCTCAGGGCTGCTATTTTACCCTTGTTGATTCCGTTTTGAACCGCCAATCCGGTGAAAAGCTGCTAACTCTGTCGAAGTAATTTTGAATCAGTTTTGCTCAATATGTGTATCCCGCGTTGCTTTTGACGGGATCAAACAAGAGGTCACAAAGCTTGGGCTGAAGGTCACAAAGCTTGGGCTGAGGTATAATTACATGAGCTCATCACTTTGTTCTGTGCTCAAAGGTGTCCTTATGCGGACGGTTCAGAGATACGTGCTCAAATTCAAGGTACACGGCTTCAAACAACTTTTCCTCACAGAGTATCCTCAACTTTCGCAGTGGCAAAGCCTGTCAGGCTGACGAGCAATGGAGGAACACCTGAACAAGCCTGTCCACTCGATCAATCTAGCATTCTGCCCGCTCACCTGAGTCTTGATCAACAGCGCCGCCAGGCAGCCGTACGCCGCCTGCTGAATCCCCCGCCACGCCTGCGCGCTCTCGGGGCTCTGCTCGGCCGCGATCCCCATCACTTTCAGCCGCTCCTTGCCCCGGATGACGTCATCGCACAGCCTGATCATTTCCACGTTCTTCTGCTTGTCGACGCCGCACTTTTCCCTCAGCTGCTCCGCGCTGAGCCTCAGGTACATGAGCTCGAGCAGGGATAAGATCGCCGTCCTAGTTGTCAGCTCGGTTTGCTCCGTCTCGGCATCCGTTCTCGTGCGGTACGAGTACTCTTTCCCGAGCGTCCGTTTGAAGTCCTCGAACTTATCCGCGAACCATTCGGACAGGAAGCTTTCGTCCGCAGCGTAGAGAGCGGGGACTGCAACCATGTCCATAACCGCTTTCTTCAACCGGGGTTGCTTCTCGCCGTCGTGCAGAAGAGTCAGCGACAGCTCCAGTAACGGCTTGGGGTCCTTCCGGGCGGTTTCCCCGGCAAAGTCCCCTAGAGCTTCCTCGATCCGACGGGAGCGGAGGGTATTCCCCTGGAACTGCAACACTGGGAAGAGCTCCTCTAAAAGTCCAAGGCTCAGACTCGCCACCAAAGCGCGCAGCAAACCCTCTAGGAGTCGCACGTAGTTGTTGAACTGCGGCGAGCCCTGCGGGAGGTCTCTCGACTGGATGAGCAGGTGTTCGGCGACCAAACGCCGGACGGAGTCCAGCACGCGTCGCCTCGTTTCTCCGTCAACGCCCGGCCCCAGGAAGAACGGCAGAAGCCCCAGCGCTTCTCGTTTCAGCGAAACCCGCAAACCCCGCTCGCTCTCGTTTTCACCCGGCGCGGCCGGCTGCGAGAGAAACGCCTCGTACGCCGGGACGACCACCCGCGCGGCCGGCTGCGCGAGCGCGCGCGGGGGATCCCCCCCGTCCACCACCAGAAGTTTCCCGACGATCGCGAGAAACGCGCGCTTCTCTTCGAGAGAAGCTTCCGGTTCCGTCCACCGCTGCAAGTACCGCAGGTTGGCTGCCATCTGATCGACCACGCTCGCGCGGCTGAGCTTGTCCTCCCCCGCCAGGTAGTGAGACAGGATCGCGCCCAGCAGCGCGCGCATCGTTCCGTTCCGGGGGGTCTGTGAGAAGATCCGCTCGAGCGCCGCCCGCGGCTGGAAGACGCACCGCCGGACGATGACGTCAGAAAAGTTGGACAGGAACAGCGCGCCGGTCGTTACCCTACGGACCATCCCCGGGGGGGTGTCGCCCTGGGCTTCCGGGACCCCCCCGCCGCTGACCACCTCGGACTCGTCCGAAACGAGGTCCAGAAGACGTCCGACGCTGAGGCCTAGTGCGGTGGCGAGCTCGAGCATCGCAGTTGCGACCGGCCGAAGGGGAGGGGGGCACTCGCGCTTGAGGTTGAAGACGGCGGTTGCCAGCTTTTCTGCTAGCTCGCCGAGGCGCTTGGGGGGCAGGATGGAGGTCAGAGCGCCTGCGGAGGATGAGAATTGCCTTTTTTCATTAATGAGCTCTTTGATGCTGTCAGCCAGCTGTCCATGAACTTGGTCAAGATACTCGCTGTGCTCAAAATAGCCTTAAGGATTGTTGTTGGGTGCAGGCATGTTGGGGGACTTCTTGAATCCCTGAGCTAGAAAAGCCGTGCAAAGTAAGCGTTGGTCTGACTATTCGTCACACGTTGCGTAGCAAGAGGATTTGATACAGACCGCCGAGATTCTGGCTTGTTTCTGAAGCCCCAAGATACTGGACTGCTTTGTTACTTGACAGCTCTCCTGATCAGGTGCATGCCTGCAATAGACAGAAAGCAAATAACAGTCATCCAACTTGGTCAACAGATTAATATGCACGCAAGACAAGAGTAAACTGTCGTTGAAGTAAATGTACTCAAATCGAGCGGAACGCTCTTACCAGCATGAAACAGCTGCTGGTAGCCCCTCACTAAGCTCAGCAGCTCCGCTGCCCCTTGGCCGGCCGCTCGCCCCGACACCCCCAGAACCTCGTCAAGCGAGACCGCCCCTAGGTCAAAGCTTCCCCCGGGCTCTTCCATCAGACTCCTGAGCGCGATCCCCACCCCGCCCTTAAATCCGGACGACGCTTCGGCCAATTCTCGCATCAGGTTCATGCTCGCCTTCGCCAGACGGTCGCTCTGCTTGAGATCTGACGTCACGAAGCCTAGCCTTCGCGGCCGGAGGAGGAGCAAGCACATGAGCCGGTGGAAAGAGGTGTCTTCAACCGGGACCACGTCTGTCCATTGGGGAACCTGGAATTGGGCGCTCGGGTTCTTGACACCAACGGAGGCGAGCGTGCTCTCGCCGAGGCTGCGTTTGACGACCTGGTGTATGAAGGAGAGGACGCCCATGATCGTGCTGCAGCGGGTGCGGTGGAAGGACTCCCGTTCGGAGGGGGTTAGGCTCCGGAGCTGAGCCTCGAGAGCCGAATCGTCCGTCTCGTCTGCAAAGGAAAGTACCGGGTTAACTTTCGGGTTAGCCTTTGGAGCCGGGTCTTAAGAGGGGAGTCGTCCATCTCGTCTGCAAAGTACCAAATCAGCTAATGAGTTAGGCTTTGGAGCCGGGCCTCGAGAGGTGGATCATACTTCTCGTCTGCAGAAGAAACGACTGGGTCATCTTTCGGGTTTCTAGACCAAACCACCTACCAGTTTCAGCGGGTTTCGTTGGACAAAAATGGAACAGGAAGGGCGCGATGCAACAGTACCAAGGTATAAGACATTCCCAAAAGAGAACAGCAAGCGTGCAGCGCATTGATGCCAGACCTGTAAGAGATCTACTGAGATAGGTATCTTCGTTGTTAGGTTAGGACTGCTTGATTGGCGCTTCTCAAGAACATGCGATCCAAAGACACGGTTTTCAGCTTCTCGAATCTTGGGTTTGAGGTCTAGTCAACCCCGGCCTGACCTGCCGTGCTGCTCAAGAACCGCCTCAGGCACACGACCGGATGGCCGGGCCTTGTTTCCTCAACCTCTTGCCCCGGGACCAGCTCAGCCACCGTCAACAGCTGCTGCGACAGGGCCCACTCGTACCACCGCAGTGACCGCAGTAGCGAGGAGAGGCCCTGTTGAAGCTCGTGTGGCGAGGATGCGCCCGGGGGAAGCGGATGCTGTACGTCAAACGGCTCCAACAAGGCCTCGAGAGGGGTAGATGGGGAGAGCTTGGAGCGGAACCAGACGGCGGCGGAACCCTCTGCGAGGGTAAGTTGATGGGTTTGCGGCTGAAAATATCGGTGGAGGGTGAGGGTTAGCGCGCACGGGCGGACTTTCCGGAACTCCAATGAGCCCCCGTTTTTGTGACCTTTGAGCTCACGCGAGGGTGGACGCAGCAACGGAAGGAAGGGACGAGCGGCAGAGGAACGGCGGGCTCCCGAGTTGCAAAATCTGTCTCGAATGCCTTGAATGGCATCGAGCTTCATTCCGTTCCTGATAGCTCATCAGGATGCTGAAATAGTCCGGCGCCTCATTTGTGTAGTTGGCTCTCGGTTGATCCAGACGACGAACACGTTCAAGGCATCCGACGTGTGCCTTTGATAGCTTGCCAGATATGCGTCGCCAGCTTCTCCTTCTCAGGGTACCAAACGTGGCTAGAAATAAGTCTTGAACTACAAGTCGTGAATGGATCCCTACCGGCGTGCGTGGCCGCCAGCGTCGAGGATAGGAAATGCACTGCTAGCCTGAGAACAACAATGCTTTCAGCCGCGTTCGATAAGTAGAAATGCAGAAGCTAGGGTTGCGTGTCTGCCAAAAGTTTCAAATGACAAGTCGTGAAACGATTCTCACCCGCGCTCTCCGGCGCCAGAGCCGAGAATAGGATCATGCACTGCTGGCTGCAACGCTGTTGCGGCCGGCCGGTCTGTGTGAATAGCCACCCGAGGAACTGGTCCAAAGTGGCGAACATGGGCCGGCCGTCCTTGCGCGGCTTCTTCAGCGGGTCGACGAACTTGAGCATCAGCTTCTGGAGGCAGTGCACCACCCGGCTCATCTGACGGACCGTGCCTGGGAAATAAAGGCGAGAAAATCGTCTCCATACATTGTTTGCTTCAAACGGCCATGGAACTGAAAGACCCTGAAGGGCAGGAGAAGAAAGTTTTCGATGGGCAACTCCGTTAGATGAAATGCATTGATATCACCTTTGGTAGTTGAGAAGCTTGTGTGTGCAACTCGAAGACTGAGTCTTGAAGCCCCCGGCTGCATCCTTGTGAGCTTGTTTGCGAGGGGTCTTGCATTGGAGGCGGCAGCCACCGAGCACGTTGCACGAAGAGATGGTTTTCAAACTCAGCGTTTGCAGTTGACTCACCAAGCAACGTAAAAACGTGCTGCAAAATTCTGCTGAAAATATTAGGCTGTAGATAGGTTTGGCTCATCACGCTCTGCACTGACCCCAAAAGCTCAAGCAGGGAAACGGGGGTCAAAAGCTCAGGTTAGAGTATTCAACCCGTCGATAAAGCAAAGAAGCGTAGACGCAGAGCTCACCAATTGTTTCAGAGTCAGCTTCCGCCAGCCGCAGGCTCTTGGCGCAGTAGAAGAAGAGCTCGAAAATGTGACGGTCGACGATGCCGCGCTGCCTAACTAGGAGCGGGTAGAGGCGGTAAAGGGCCATGGTGGCGCCCAGGCGCTGGTACGGGTTGGGGTGGTCCAGTCGGTTGTAGAGCCGGCGCAGCATGGACGTCACGTTCACGAAGTTGTCCGCCTTCAGGAGCAGAAGAATGAAGGTGTGAGTTTCAAAAGGAGATTAGACAATCATGAGAAGTTCCACGAGTGATTGACAGCTGGCGTAGCATGGACGCCACGTTCACGAGCTTGTCGGCCTTTGAAAAGAAAAAGATATTAGGGAAAGGTGTGAGAATCCGAAGGACGGTTGAAAAGGTATTGCTGCGGGACTGGTTGTAGAGCCGGCGCAGCATGGACGTGACGTTTACACAATTGCCGGCCTGAAAAAGCAGATGAATTCAACAAGAGACGTGAGAATCCAAAGGAAGGTTGAAACGTTCAAGATTCGTCACGGGACTGGTTGTCCGCCGGCGCAGCATAGACGTCACAAAGTTGTCAGCATGTATCATGATTTTGTAAGTTGTTTAAGGAGAGGACAAAAGACAAGGAGCAATCTGAGTTGAGACCTGTATGAAACACTTGCCTATTGTGACCTGGCAGATGTCTCAGAAAAGCAAGCTTGGAACAGAAGGGTAAACCCGAAACAAAAAACGGACCCGGACCTCTCGGACAGCTGCCGAGAGCAGTGGCTCGAACCAGTAGCTCGCTGCACATCAAGCTCTTGAGACGCCGCTACCTCAAAGGTTTGTCATGACTACTGAAAAGCAGGCGCCTTGTGCAGCCAACAAGGCTCAGGTGCAATTGACAATCCAAGAAGTACAACGTCCGGCACTGAGCGACGGACAACTTACCTCAGGAGGCGCGTGGCGAATAGACCATTCCATGAATTCCTGAAAGCACCCGGCAGAAAACTCCCTGCAGGAAAGGATGCTACTTCAGCTTTCCTCGCCCACAAAGAGCCTTTTGATATCCTTCAGCAGACGCATGCGCCCAGTTCAAGGGGCCTCTGCAGCTGAGCAGGACCTCGGTCTATCTCTTGGCACGGTCCGATGGGTTTTCCCGTACAAACGGTTGGAGAAGCTGACGTGCACTATGCTTACAAAGGCCTCGTGTTCGCCAAACATGACAGATTAGCCCACCTGAGAGCGCCGTTGTCCTCGTCCACAAGGCCCTCCAGGATGGCGTCGAGCAGCGCCATCGTCTCGGGGTGCTCGCGCGTTTTGCTGCTGGTGAACCAGCGGATAATCTGCTTGACGAACTCGGAGAAGAGCCGCTGCGTTACCTGCGAACCCCGACACACAGATCACAGGCTTTTAGGGTCAGCTTGTCAAGATAAGCCTTTGAGCTTGGTTATTATAAGAACCAAGCTTAACGAACGAGAGTGATCCCGGCAGCTAAAAATGGAATGCAATCCCGAGACACCTTGACAAGTGCGCTTAACGGCAAATGGTCTGGCGTGCTTCTTCCTCTGCTCCTTCGCAAGTCCACCGTGCCCTTGTCTCTCGAAGGCGCGTCAAGGCATCCATATCAACGGCGATTTTGGGCAGCAACTGTAATAACATAGTATGCATCATTTTGAGAAACAACGCAGGCCTCTGCAGCATCCCAACGTACCGGCTCGACATCGGTCGCCAGCTTGAGCAGAGCAGGGAACAGCTTCCGATAAATCTTTTGGAACTGGTACTCCTGCAAAGGAAGAGCACAGTGGTTGATAACCAAGTGCCGCACTCGCTCGAGCTGACGCTTCCTTGTGATGGAGTGGAATACATACCCCTCGCACACGGATATTTGGGATTGGGTTCAGTGCACGGAGGTCTCTAGACGTCTGGATTTTGGGAGTAGAATCTTGCAACGATCTTGATCATTCAGCTGGAAAGGTCGGCACTGGACACCCTGCATGCTCTTTGGTTAGACGTGTGCAACAACAATCACATCCTTGTCAGCTTCGCCGGTTGCCTAGTCGCTTCACCGGTTGCCTAATCCTTACTCTCCAAAATACATATAGCAAGGCATGGTTACAGAGCGGGTAAGACAACATAAGCACAAGCCTTTCTGGACGGGTTGATAGCTTGGGTTCGTAAGGGGCACGGTTACGGAGCGGGCCCAGTTTCTGGTTTAGATCTTGATTGTTAGATTCGTTTTTCGCTGCTCCACTCGGCTCAACATGTTTCTGTCAGCGTACCTCTCTAAGCTCCTCGCCCCTTCGCTGGAGCGGCGCCTTCGCGCTGGTACCAATCATGTACAGTGAGACCGCGTGGAGCAGTTCGGAGGCCGCCACCTTGGTGCGCCGGTCGGTGGACGACTGCGCGAGCTCCACGACGCGCGGAAGGAGCGGATCTGCGGATAATCTCGTCATTTTATTGAGAAATGTTTCTTTGTATTATCTTTACATCTTCCTCTAGAATCTCGAGCTTGGTTTTCTTCCACACTCTTTCAGTACTGGCGAATTAGGCGGAGACCACTTGCGGCACCAAAACTGAGCCAACCAAATAAGCAAGAAGTTCATATGGAATACGTGGATGGGGGATGAAAAGCAGAAGGGTAGAGATCAATTGTTGAGTTAGGAAGAGAAAAGATTGGCTGTTTCACCTACTTGTCTCGTGGGGGCATGGATGGGACGAAGGAGAAGCTTTCGTAGACAAAAGCAGACAAGGCATACGCGTTCGTCCAAGCTGAGGATTTGACTGATTGAAACTCTACGTACAAACATCGCGTCACTTCTATCAGACGGCCGTTTTCATTCAGATGCTGAAGTGCAGGCGAGCTAGAAACACTGGGACTAGCACTAGCTTGAGATTTTGTGCCCCGCCCACGGGTGTCGCACCTAGGTAGATGTCAGGCTTTTCGTCCCGGAATGGCAGCGCAAACTTGATCCGTTTGATGACGTCCCAGGCCAATGCGCTCTGGCCGTCGCCCTTGGTCAGGTTGACGTCAGGCACGAGCAGGTGGCTGTGGCCGCCGATGCGCCCCAAAAAGCGCTGCACCCGCAGCTGGAGCCGCTCGAAGGGGCTCGCCTGCGGAGAATTCAAACATGAATTCGGAGCAATTTCTTGATTTCAATGGTCTAGAATCTGAAACAAAGTCAGTCCATCCATCTGAAACAGGCAGTCAACAGCTTCGTCGGGGAATAGAACAACCGAAATAGAAACTTGATACATTAGGCTGAGATGAGCGAGGACGAATATGGGAGTTTCCAGATCGTGAGCGTATCTTCTTGCCAAGGCTTCGGAGGCTCGGTTGATTCCGGATACCGCCTCGAAAGAAGGCGATTGGAGCTTCCTGAGTTTGGGAACGAGAACGGAGGCAGATTCTGCCATCGTCTCCGATATTGCAATCCCACCAAGATTGTCTTTTTCAAGGCCGCCGGCATGGACAAACCGCGATCAGGATGTCGAGGCAAAGCCAGGCAATCGTACTGCGGTGCTTCAAGAGATTCTTGTGGCTGCACCTGCATATCCTTCGCCCGCGCCTCTCGCTGCCGCCTCGCCTGCGTCCTCGTCATGTCCGCCGTGTTCCTCTTCTCGGCGACCTCGTCCCCTGCGGCCCCAGACATCTGGTCGGCCCCCGAGGTGTCGACCTCGGCCAGGTAGTCATTCAAAAGGGGGACAATCTCCGGCAGATGGGGCTCCAGCTCTCGGAAGTGGTTCTTCAACCAGCCCTCTAGAGTGTCTAGAGCCAGGTCCGCCAAGGGCTGGTAAGTGCACAGTTGGTCAAGGAAGCAACAGAAAGAAGGCGGATCGACGGTGCTTGTCCTGCTTTCCATTCGAAGCGATGGATTCAGATAGCCGCATCAACATCAAACGGCAGAGTGCCGACGAAACGGTCCAGAGGACAGCAAGCTGCGGAATGTATAATATACTCGAGCAACGTCCGAGTCCAGGAAACTCCAACGGGCTCCCTCCCTTTCTTGCATGCTGGAAGTTTAACGTGTCACAAACATGACAAATCAGGAGAAACGCAGAAATGGCAGGAAAGATTGAAGCCAGGCAGAGACCGACACACATCGGAAGGCATCTGAAGGCAACCCAGTGTCAGACACGTCCTGTCCGATGTGACGAGCACTGCAAACTGAACAAAAGAAAATTGAAGGAAACAAAGAAAACAGCTGCAACTGGAAAGGATATCTCAAGCCCATGGTGAGCGCGCTCTGCATCGGCCCCACCAGCTGCCGGATCTCCAGCAGGACCGTCGGCGCCGAGAGGCACATCTGCAGGCACGCCGCGAGGTGCTCCAGCTTGTACCGCCGGCTGGCGACCAGCACCTCGCGCAGAAACTTGCGGAAGAGCTCCGTGCACTGCTCGCGGTCGCCGGGAGGGACGCCCGGGAAGGGGCTCGCCTGGAGGGGATAATAGCGATAAACTTGAATACTAACAAGGAACTTAAGGTACAGGAGGACCGGTGGGGTTATTTTGGTGGTTAGGGTGGGTTCGGGTGCGGAGCATGTCATTCTGTCCTAAGGGTTTTAATGTTGGTTAAATCGAGGAACTCAGTACTTTCAGTACTTAAGATCCTTGTTATCAATAGAGTTTATGGTTATAGGGGATGAGAGAGACCAGGTTTTGGCGACCAGTATCCTGTGCAGAAACCCGCGGAAGAGCTCCGTGCACTGCTCGTGGTCGCCGGGAGGGACGCCCGGAAACGATTTCGCCTGCAGGAAGGAGTGAGTGGGTTTTGGCAACCAGGACTTCGCGCAGAAACTTGCGGAACAGCTCCGTGCACTGCTCGCGGTCGCCGGGAGGGACGCCCAGGAAGGGGCTCGCCTGCAGCGAAGGGGCAAGCAAAAACTTGCCTTGGTCTTGTAAGTTGTGCACAATACCCAGTCATAATATCGCAGGGCAATGAGTGGAGGCTAAGTATCCTGACAGAGAAACGGCTGAACAGGGCTTTGTCTAAACAGGGGGACAAGACGAAGGTGGCGCCCGACAATAGAAGGAGGGTTGAACGAGCAGGGGCTTCTTCGGGGATTGCCATGAGAAGACAACGAACCTTCCAAAGCAGTAGGATGCGGCTTTAGGTCCGGATAAAACAAAATCAACAGCTTGAGAAGGAAGATCTACAGGGCGGTCCTTGAGCAGGCAGACAACCGCAAGGGACTTCGTGCTAAAGGAAAAGAGAACACTGGACGTGTCGAGAAGATTGATTTTGAACGGCAGCAGATGAACGCTTGAAGTCAAAAAAGCGAAATGTACAGCCTTAGCGGCTGACCTCGGACATGGGCACGTCCCCGTCAGCATCCGGCTCTGCTGACGTCGATTCCGCCGCGAAGTAGCCGAGCGCGTCCCCGACCCTTATGGCGACTGCCAGCAGCTTATAGAAGCCGCTGATCAACGGGTATTGGTCGGAGAGGGCGATGACGTCACGGCCGAAGGTGTACAGCCACTTCGGGAAGAAGCTGACGCAGCACCTGGGAAAAAAAGGCTCGCTTCGTTGGACAAAAGAAGCGGGTCAGAAACGCTTTCTTACACGAAGTGGCGGGAGGCCCAGAAACGTACATGGCGGATAGCTATTCGCATCTGACAGCAGAGTTTGTTCCACATGGCAGCTCACCCTCTTGCTGCAAACCTCACATGGTAGTCGTCTTTAAAAACAAAAGAGTTGACTTGTCTGTGGCTCCATAAGAGTTTGCACATAACGAAGCAAAGAGGTACAAGCGGTCAACCATCCCACCTGAAACCGTCATCGTCCGACCCGTGATCAGAATTGGAACGTAGCTTACATTGTCCAGAGGTAAGGACGATCGCTTCAAAACCTTGCAGTTGCGTTCCTTGCAAAGGAGAATGCAAGCCTCACTTCTGCAGGAACTCCTGGGCGAACTCCACAAGAGTAAGGAACATGCGCATGTCGTTCGGGTTCAGCGGGATGATGCTCTCCAGCGCCAACTCGGGTTCGACGTCCTCGGAAGTCTTGCCTTCATCCTCTGTGAAACAAAAGCGCTATATTCAGCAAATTTGAGCGAGCTTTATTTAGTAGTATTGTCATTATCGTCTAGAAGAGCAGCTACTCACCTATCAAGATCGGCTGCTTGTAAAAAGGGGTGACGGTAAATCTAGCCGAACTTTGAAAGGATAAGAGTACAATGAAAAGGTCGACGGACGGCTCAGCCGAAGCGGCATCAACGAAGGAGACCCGAGCGTGCACGACGGCGCACGTAGCGACCGAAACGTTTCGCAACAAAAAGCGAACGAGAAGTGCAGCAATCACTCCCCTCAGAACATGGCAAGCGTCTAGTATCCCAGATCCGTCAAACGACTAGTTTTACGTAAGCACAGTTGTTGAACGGACGGCCACCTCTTTTCTGCTCTCTCTTCGAACTGTCTCAAAACCCAGACCCTGACTTTGATGAGACTTCGTCACGCTCGCTGTTCGGGCACCGACGACAGTACCTTCGCTCGGCGCGGCCGCTTCCTTGCTGGGCGCCCTGACGTCATACCGCAGGTCCAAGCCGCCCACGATCGTCAGCATGTTCTGCACCAGCGAGTCGTACACGAGCTCGCGCATGTGCGCGTAGTCGGCCGCGTTCACACTGATCCGCGATGCGACCGGGGTTTCGCTGTCCGCCTCGGAGGAGGCTTCCTCCTTGCGCGGATTTTGCGCGGCAGAGAGCACCACGGGCTGGTCCAAGATGCGGGTCCACAGCTCCAGGTAGAGGGGCCACTTTTTGGGGTCGTCGGGTGGGGCGGCGGGGTCGTCCGCGCTCATCGTGCGGACGAGCGAAGATCGAACTGCATACAGCAAAAGATGAGTCGCTTTTACAAGGTACTGCGACATTTTGTAGGATTCATGAAATGGACACGGACGCTGTATTACAGAGCATTCTTTTAGGCGCCTTCTTCTGAGGCCTTCTCCTGAAGTCTTCTGCATCCGTTTCCGTAACAAAAGACCGATACACCCGTGGATGCATAGCAACAGAGCCTGTTGACCGACGGACTGTTTCTTCACGTACATAGTGAGGATTTTTTTATCGACTTTCTCGGCAAACAGTGCAGAAAGGCCGTGAGGCAGAAGAGTGTCATTCTGACGATAGGTGGGGCCTTACCTATGTTATTGAGGAAGGACGTGAAGGCCTCTCCTTTGGGGTAGAGGGAGCACAGCATATTTACAAAGGCAGTATGTACAGCCGGCTTCTGCTTCTCCCAGAGAAGCGGGTACCGGAAGAAGATGGCGCCCGCGACCTACAGCCACACAACATGCATTTAAGGAACTATGAAGGACACAACGGTCACACTTTTACTTAGACATCACCTTACCTCTGGTTGCATTCAGATTGATGGTTTAGGTGCCACTAACCCGCCTAAAATCATTGGTATGGAAACTTACCACTAAACCATTGCTGTTAAATTACGCCACCAACTTACTCGTGAGTCCGGTTTTAGTTTCAAGTTTCAGTCTTCAAATTTAAAGCTCTGAGAAACGTTGTTGGACATGCCTCTCGCCCACGAACGAAAACAGTAAGATTTGACCTAGGACACACAATTGGCAGGCTGACCGAGCACGGGCAAACATGCCTCCGAATCTCTGGGCTGAATGGAGGACGAAAACTGACGGACTCCGAATTACTACTGTGAGCAACCAGCACCCTGTGCTTCTAGCTTTCAATTGAAGGCCTACCTCAGAAATGAAGCTGATGAGAGAGTCCTCCACGGACGGCAGATAGACCATCATGTCCGCAAAAGCGCCGACGAGAGTGACAGAGTGGCCCAGGTTGTCGTCGCCGTACCCGGTGGATCTGCACGGCATGAACGGCCAGGATTGGTATACACTCGACAAGGTGACTGGACTGCCCAGACGACACCGTTTAGTGGAGGCTCCGCTCCACCGGGCGCTTAGAAAAGCACGTCGTCACAATCTCGCAGCGACACACAGTCGCGATTAGGGACTGTGCCCTGTGTGTCGCCGACCGGTATGTAGCATTCCCCCTTGAAAGGCTGAGGGTCAAAGGTGGCCTTCTAGCAGGTTGCTGCGTACTTTTGAAGGCGCAGATGGTGCCAGATCCAGGAATTGCGAAGTATCCCCAACGAAGCCGAAGGCACCAAAGGAAAGGAATGGAACCAAAGCGGAACACACCGACACGGACCATGGGCTGCGCGAAGTGCTCAAAGCGAGACCGTTGTCCGAGGGCGTTGACGTTTTAAGGAGGTCGATTTTTCACAAGATCAGTCTCTGGTGAACAGATCGTCCGGGACCTGTGTGGGCCGGCAGATACGGCTACATTAAGATTTGGATCCCCAATTGTTGCCCAACTTACACGGTAGATCGGGCGCCGAACGGGAGTAGCCGATTGAGCGCTTTCCGCAGCTCTTCCTCTCCGGAGAACTTGAGGATTGCCCCGGCCAGCTTGCCCTGGGCGCGGATCGCCAAGCTGACGTCACGGGGGCTGCTCGCCGGGTCGTTCAAGATGCCAAAGACCGCCTTCATAAGCTCCTGCTTATAAGGAAGGAAGTATATCAGGACAGAGGCTGATAGGCTAGAAAGTAAAACGAGGCGAAGCCCGACGCACCTCTCCTCGGACAAAACGGAGGGCTTTAGCTGTGGTTAAGATAACGGAAGCTGGCCACGGGGGCTGCTCCCACAGGGAGTTGGACGCCTATTCAGAATTCTGGGGTGCACCGCGTGGCTAAGTGGCAAAGGATTCTGGGCGTTTGCAGCGGAACAGCTATGAGAGAATTGTCATTATTACGCGAGCATCAGCTGAAAAGACTGAAGTCGGAAAATCATCAGGTCAGTAGATGTATCCGTGCCATCCAGTTGTCAGCCAGATAAGTTGAACCAAATGGCAGATTTTTCTGCGGCCTTGCAATATGTGGACGGGCGACAGAAGCAAAAGCGGATAGTCGTAAAGAGGGATGTGTGCGGGTCAAAGTGGACGCCTACGCCAGACCGCCGAAATTTTCTACTGACAAACGACGGCCACGTGGACTCGGGCCCAGGTCATTCAAAACCACTCGACGCGGGACCGTTTCTGAGGGCGAAATGTCGCAGGAACGCCTCAACCAGCTATGGTTTGTTGTACTCACCGTGTAAGTATGGCGGACTAAAGGCTCAGTTGCCGGGTCCGACTCTAGCATGGCCTTCGAGACCTACGGCACAAAGGCAGAGACTCAGAAACCCGCTCATTCAACATTCCTCGGCGTTGTCTTGGACTGATTGAGTCGGCTCAGATTTTGAAACACCGTTTCTCCCGGAAGACCCCGAAGTTTTGTCGACCACTGCTGATATTTAGATTTCAACCGCAGATCATGCGTGCTCTTCCTTCGAAGCTGTTGGGCTGTAGAGATCGAGCAATAGACTCAAGGCAAAATGATTGAATGGCGAGTCTCGTCCCAGGACTTGCCAGAGTTGTCCGTGAAAAGCATGCTGTAGGATATGCCAAGGAGTTCGGTGGAGTCACCTGCGTCAGGGTCTCTTCTAGAGCGTGGTTGGCAGCGTCGCGTATTTGGTGGTTGACGTGATTGCTGCGAACCGATATTTGGTGGTTTATGTTGTAGTCGGGACGTCAAGCAACCCTTCTGCTCGTTGAGACATTTCCTTCTTTCCTATCTCGTTCTGAGGAAAAGCTGTGATTCGCATAGGTGACGACACAGGCGGCAAAAGCACATGCGGCCATCAGTATGTACCGCTGGAATGATCTTCACACTCAGTAACGACACGAGAAGGGTCAAGAACGCACCTGTATCTTCGAAAATACTCAAAAAGCATGTCCGGATCTGACGACTGCGCTGCGGGGTCCTTCCTCATGATGTCCTTCAGCAGTCGTCGGCGGAAGAGACTCGCGTGTCGGGACAGTAGTTTCAAGGCGGCTGCCAAAGGAAGAAAGGAAAGCGATGGTTCAGAAAGCAAGCAGAGGTGGCAGCCCTCTTGAAATTTTGTATTTCAAAAGGATCCGCAGCATACCCTGCGTTGGCGTAGGAACAGAAAGAATGGTTTCTTACGCGTGCAAGCTTACTTGCAGATTTTGCAAAATCTGCAAGAGAGATGTCAGACAAAAACTTACATCGCAGGACGGCATACCGAGTCAAGTCGTCCTTCTGAACGATGTCTGTGACGCACTTGTACAGCAGTTGCGCATTCTCTTGCGAACCTGGAAAATTGAAGCAGCAACAGGAGTTAGCAAAAACGTGAGAGACGAAGCTGTTCTAAACCATAATCCGTCGGGAAAATTGAAGCAACGGTCTAAATTGGAACGAGACAGTGAACTGCGACTATGCTACTGCTCTGCTTATACATTCAAATTGAGGGCCTCCAGCTTGTCCGAACTATCTTATCAGTCTTCCCTCTCGCTTTCCGAACTCGAAGATCTGGAAACGCAGACTTCTTAAATCGCTTTTCACTTGGTGAACGTTTAGCAGCGCCTGATTCCATCAATCGCCTTTCAACTGATTGACGAAGACCAATGCACCCAAAAACGAAGAGAAGAAGCACGACTACGAATGGGTAAACATTCCGTGAAGTTTTCTTCCAGCAAGTCTTCTAGTGAGGTGCGTGTGGTGCCTCTGAATCTTCATGCAGTAACTAAACAAGCTCGCCGAGCACCGTCAGAGTAAGGGCTGACCTCCTGGGAACTCCCCCTCATCGCAGTGCGTCAGCAGGGACGTCACACAGTCGAGTATCCCAGCCATGACCAGCATCTCCGGCTTATCTGACTTGGCCTGCGCCATCAGATTGGTCAGCGCCAAATTCATGATTGGCGCAATCTGGTCGTGCAGTGCCTCAGGAAAGTACTCCACGAGCAGGCCCAGCATGACGAAGGTATTGGACTTGACTGCAAAGAAGCGGAGGAAGAGAACAGAATTTGCGTTGGTCATTTAGTTTTGCGCATTTGAAAACAGTGATTGGGAGTGACTTGAGTGAACTGGATGGCACCTACTAACTAGTGACCTGCTTGCAGAGGTGTGCGATCTCAGTACTTGGGCTTATAAAGACAGATAGGAGATTTCGTGGGAGGATCATATCCACGATTGAATGAATCTGAACGTTAGTGAGCTGTACAGGCTTCAAAATGATGGCATGACAATAAAGCAAAAAAGCGTTGGTGCTTGACAGTTGTTGACTCCAAAAGCTGATCCGAAGGGGAGATGTCTTTTCAGAAGCAATACCTTAACCAATCGCCAAAGTGAAGAGGAGCTTTCAGAGCGCAGTCATGATCAAGCCTTCAGACACATTCCCAATATCTTCTCATCAGATGTCTCAGCGTGGCTCACGCGTTGCTGTTGTCATCCTCCTGTAATCCCCAAAGTACTGCCGTCCCATATCTGCTGCTGCGAAGTTCTCTGCAGTGACGAGCGGCAGCTGCAGCCTTATGATGAGAAACAGTGGGTCGAAGGTGTTGGCCTTTGGGGAGTTGGAAGTTTCCCGGCGGTACAGGTCGTAGCATTTCTTCTGCAATTTCAAAGGAATGATCCTTCTGGTTTTCATGATTACTAATTTCTTAGCTTGGCCGCCGAAGAGTAGAGGGGCATCTCAGGCTAGTCTAGCAAATATCAAGACGCTATTTGGTAACATCAACAATATCTTCCTTTGGCGCAAATCACATTTAATCTATGCACCGTGGTATGTGAGAGGAACTGGAGAGACTTCACCAAGATGCTGAGACTCGTGAGCTTGATGCTCCACAGTCCACTGAACAAACACACTCAAGTCGCCGACTCAATGAAGCTAAATTGTCATTCCTGGCTTAGCCCTCTGTCAAAGTAGTGGCAGCTTTGTGACAGAACACACCTCGAACTTCTGGTGTCCAATCCCAACCGAGACCTGTGGAACAATATTTCATGTACGGGAATCACATTTTGAATTCGCTCTGAAAACTGTTGAGACATACCACCAGGTTCTGTCTTAGGGCACTCGATCAACAGAACTGATGAAGCAGTGGTGGTATCACTCCTTGATAGCCACACAGTAACAGAATTTGTGCAGCTAAGAAAAGGATGTAAGTGAATCAGAAAAGGCTTACCCGGATAAACAGCGCATATGGGGCAATGCGGTCTTTCACTTTCTCGATGTACTTTGCCAGGAAGGCAAGAGCCTTTTCTCTGGGCTTCGCCAATGCTTTTTCAGGAAGAGCAGCCTCCAGGAATGCAAATATACCACTGTCTTCATCGAAAAGGACTGACGAGGCAAAAGCTAGCTCGTCTTCAGAGGTCAGATTGGTGCACAGGTCTGCAATATCCTCCACACGACGCACGAGCTCTTCGGCTGAGCCTAGGCTTCTTTTCACTGCGTCCTCGCGCAATTCGGTCAGGTAAAAAACCAATGTCGTCTCCATGCCGCCAAGTGCAATGTCTGTGCAGCTGCTTGCTAAAACCACTGCACAGCGTCGGTCCCTGCAACCAACTGCATGCAATTAATAATGTCGCTAGTGACTAGGCCCGTCCACCTTGTGCTCTTAGCTCACCCTGAGCAGGAGTCCGTCAAGGAGTCGCCCGCCATTACACGTTGGTCAGCTAGAGCATGAGGGCTGGGTAGGACTTGATGAGCTCCAGCTCCAGCTCCAGCTGCGTAACTTGTGTTCAGGAAGAAACACAGATCAGTGAACACAAAGCCTGAACACAGAACTCTGCATTTTCCACCGGTCCGTCACCTGAGTACGATTCCTCCCGGGGAAGCAACACTGCCGTTTCGAAGCGCCGGTCTTCTTCTCGTGTGTACCTTATCGCCCTTCTTGTGTGAGTAATGCCCGCCGTTTATGCTCACGGCCCAAGCCGCATTTATGGCCATGCCCGGTCGACTTTGACCCGACCGGGCAATCTGTCTTGACACTCGGGCTTGTGATGACTTTTCTTCAAAGGTGAACTGATCTTCTCCAGTCGCCCTCCGAGTCCAGGCTCCATACAGCCTTCAATTCAAATGCTGGTCCAGGAGGGGTGAAACTTTCAGAGCTCAGCGCTCTTCTTTCTTGAGGCCACCTCAAAATCCTCTCCTATGTATTTATCTCACAATTAGACGCTAGAGCAATGTAAGCTGTTGCTGATTGTGGGAAGCCAGTAGGAAGGGCGCTTTGGCTTCTGTTCGTCACGACCGTAGGATTCGGCCAACACTAGTTCCACTATAGTGACTCCTTCAAGCCACCTTCGTCATGGGGCCCGGCACAAAACAAGTTCTGGCCAGACCGTTGACCGTTGAGCTTAGGAAAAGGCAGCTAACCCAAGCTATATCTTGCTTCATTGCAGTCAATGCAGCTTCTGATCATTGTAAAGTTGTTTTTCAGACATGTAAGATCAGGTTTGCATTGACCGTACTAGCTAGCATACATCAAGCGCAGCTTCAGGCAATTGGGGTGCAGAGGGGAATGGCCAGGGCAACGGGTGCCAAAATTCAGGGCTGGCTAACCTCTTTACAGAATGTGAGACATTGAGAGGCCGGTGATTGTGGGAGCCCTATTCAAGGACATTTGGGATCTTCAAAGTAGCTCAGCAAGCACCGTCATAGCATTCTCGCATAAGGCTCTGTGTGCCTTGGCCCCATGCCAGAGGATGCACGTGGTCACGAAGGCATGGCAGGTGTGTAAGCTTGTTTCATTCTGATGCTTCTTCTCCTTTACTCATCTACTTGAACCTTCTTAAGCAGCGCCTTTTCTAGTGGTCAATTTGGTATTCAATTGCAACATTGAAATTGCAATTTGTGTTCTTACTTTTCTCGAAATTTTGAGCAAGCAAGGGGTGTGCTTCCTCAACCACCAAACTTAAGCAAGCAGACAACACTCTCAAACCAGCTTCGAAAGGGATTGGGGCTATCGATCTATTCTATCTGATGTGTCTTTATCTTATGAAATATGTAGCGGAGGATTGTTGGACCCGCAATCGTTCTGTATGCAAATCCCCTTCTCTTGCAATAGATTGCTCCAAGTGACTTCCCAGGCTTGCGCTGAGACCTGTTTCGCCCAAATGTCTGACCATCTGGCTAACATAATTCTGGTTGTTTGGTCTGTGATCTCTCCCTTTCTGTCCTGGAGAAGCCAGTTCACATTCTTTTATCCGCAGTGACTGTCTGGTGCACACCCAAGTGGTTATCAGGGCCCCAAAGGTGGAACCTACAGATGTGCCCCTGTTCCTTTTTCCCAGCATAAAGCTGGACAGATGAAGCTGAACCAGACGTATGCATACTGTTTAAGCAACTGTAAAGGTCATTGAATACAGCAGGAAAGAGACTTACCCTGTGGAATTCAAAATCATTCCCCAAATTGCCACTCATTCTGCTGTCCCATCCTGCTGTCCGCTGAATTGCGAACTCGCCCTTCATGAGTAGCAAGTATGTGAAAGACTTTTCTGCAAGTCGTGGGCTACAAAGAGAAAATCTTGGAAAGGTTTCGCAAAGCGCGTGTTTGTGTGGTGTTCATTGATTGGGGACATTCCTGAGCTGTGACACTTGACAGCATGTACACGGAGTCGAATACTTCGTCCGATTCTAGAAGGTGGAAGGCGGATCTTCTTATTGCTTCGCAACTGGGTTCCAATTGGACGTTGATCAGGCACGTCCACTTCATGCGATTAATGGTCCAGCGCAGGGGATTGAACTTCGACATCCTTGGATCTGGAAAAGATTCAAACCAACAAGTGCTCGTTTTCCGAGCTTTGACGTCCGACTTGACCAGGTCAGAGGACATCGTGTCACATTCTGAGCCGCAGCCGCGCCTCTTCAAAACCAGACTCTCTGAACACCGAGCCAAACCGGACCAAACCCTCTGAAGGCACAACCAAACACTAGGACAAAAGCAAAAGTGCCATCGTTTAGATTCTTCCGAAACACAGCTGCACGTCTTCTCTGCAGGTCTTCGACGAGTCGTGCCCCCGTAACTACCTGGTCCATGCCCTCGGCCCGTGACTCGAGCCCGCCAAACGCAAGAACGCTGCGTTTAATTGGAAGACCTGGGTACTCCGACACGTGAACGAAGTTTGCAAGGCGAGGGTGGTGACCGCAAGGTACATCTTTGCAGAAAAAAATGTTCATCGACTTCATCATTCTTTGATCGAGCAAATGTTCTTACCTGCAGTTTCGGGCAAACATTCTTACCTTCATTCGATGGACGTTTCCAAAGACCTGCCACTGATGATTTCCGTCTCAATGGACCTTCTCATTCTTCAAGCAAAAAAGGTGTTCACTATGTCTCGTTCACCATTTGGAGGCCCGTCCAAGTGCCTAATGAAACTTCAGAAAGATTGAGGTTTCTCATGGGCGTTTCAAATCCAAGTCGAAGCAGACAAGACCAGCCAAAACGGAAAACTGAACCTAGTGTTAGCTGTGCCACTGAAAGCGTCTTCAGGCTATGGCAGCGACCATACCGTACTGTAAGAGGGCCTCCTGATGTCCGAAATTGCAACAAGGCCCGGGCTAATGTGTTCTCTAGCCGCCCATGCTTGTATGGGGTTCAAGTTGATGTTTAAGATGCGAACGTAAGTTTTCTTCGTTGATCCTACAGTAAGGGGAAAATGTCGAATCACCGTCCAGGACTCTGATTTGTTCGATGGTTCCGCAAATAAACTTCGTCTACTCGTTGAAGGCCCTTTGTAGTCGAGTACATACTAAAGCGTTGATCCTTATGCTCCTATGGCGTTACTTCGGCAGCGTTGCTTTCGAGACTTAGTCAAGGACATTAGGGCTGAGACAAGCTAACACTTTGAGCTTTATGTGCAGAATTGTCTTTCCGTATTCGTCGCACACGCCAAGGTGACCAAGAGGCCTGACATCGTTGAACACGTGAACGCAAAACTTTGCAGATAACAGGTAAGGGACCGTCACTTCAGAGAATTACCAACGCTTGTTTCTATGGGTTCTGGCAGCAGTACTTGTTTCCCGCTGACTCTTTGACGAGGATTGGCGGACGCCCACGCTTTTCAAGGCCTGTAGGACTTAGAGACCTCGAATCCGAACAGGTGACACGTGTGGACAGGCCCAGCTTGATATTGACATGGCATTCTTAGCATCAAAGTCTGGCCAAAGAAAGCACCATGCGAGGTTGACTCGACTAAGACGTCCACTTCGCAGAAAAAGGCCTCCAAAGAACATCCCCCCTGGTAGATGCAGACTACTTAAAGTCCTGATGATGCCGCTTCTGCACCAACGGCTCTTTCCTTTTCATTCTATTGACAGGGACTTCAATCTCTTGCAGATCAGAGTACAAAGCCTTGAACAAGCGCACAGCTACGGTACACGCCAGTAAACCGAGACGTCGGTTGTAAAGAAGAAGGTGAGGCCACATATCTCTTGTGAACGTAACTTGGGGATCTTTTAGGGCCTTGGACATACCTCCTTATTGCTTGTATCTGCAGCTTGCATGCCTCTTCGACAACGTACCTCCTTTGGTACGAAAGTTGGCATCGTCGAGTCTGCCGTCCTCCCTGGCCTTCGTGTCGAGTTTGACGAAGCCACCGGTTTCAACGTCTTCCAAAGCAAAGAAGAGCCCCTTTCGCGTCCAGACTTCTGGCCCGCCCCTTGAAAGCACCGAGGATAGCTCTTTAATACGATCCCGCCTTCTTCAAATGCAACTTAGTAGCCAGGCGTACTTTTCAGGCACGTTTTCCTTCAACCAGACAGCCGCCTGGCGAGTGAAGGAGATTGCTTGGACCAAGCAGTACGTACTAGGACATCGGGAAACAGTAGATTGCTTTCGAATGATCTGCCTGCCACAGAGTCTTGCTGGATGATGTTGGGTTGAATTAAACATCCTGTTCTCACCCTGCCAGGTGCTCCGCTTCGTTCTTCTCCCTCGTCACTCTCGCCATCTCTCTTCGCAGCTCCACATACCTTGTTTGGATACAGCTACAGACCTGCAATTTGACAATACCTACTGGCCTTATGCTGTTGTCACGTCCTGCCAAGGGTCCGTCCTGTAAACGTCGGTCTTTTCAGATCAAATTCAAGAATCCAAGATTTTATGGTGGTATCATGCTGCTACTGCCTGTCAATCTCAGCATCTAGGTAGCGACCACGGAGGCACCCAACAATTCTCCCTACGGATCGACAGTGTATACCGTACGTCAGCTGGTTGTGCTGCCTTTGTTGAAGATTAAAAGGATAAGTCCACCTGTATAACCGGCAGCTGAGCCTTTGACATACGGTACGGTATACTGACCTCTTTTTCCCGGAGCGACCGCCCCATGATTGAGGGTTGCAACCCAAGCTGCAGGAACAGCCATCACTGCTGTATGAGCCGGGTGTGGCTATGCATGCCACTTATACTTCCTGACACACGTGTGCTGACTTTGTCGAGGTTTTCTTTCTTAAGCGGTACGAGATGCACATCATGACCAGACCAATCTGACCGGCCTCTCCTTGGACGCAGGGCGCCAGCTGGCCGGGTCCATAATGAGTGGCGGACTTTGCGGCATGCGGACCAGGTCGCGACCTGCTTGTGCGATAAGTCGCAGTTCTACGATGAACATCACGCTCTCTGAATACCGTATTATAAGGTCGAGCCCGGGGGATGGTTGGGGCTAGGTCTGGGTTAGAGAGGGTTCAGGTGAGGAGCGAGTTCAACATCTGGGTTAAGGTTTTTAGTTTGTCTGTGCCCGGTAACTTGACCAGATGTTATCCAAAGAGCTTATCATTCACGGGATCGGGACAGTATGATAAGATATAAGGGTGGGGGGCTTCAGGTTGCTGGTTCCGGCGGCCCGTGCATTAAAGTGCATGCAACATAGCTGGGGCAATTATGGTTTTTTGGTGTTGAGGAAGAAAACAAATAAGGTGCGTTGGAGTCTATTACATTCTCCGCTGAGCTAGGGCCTACTCCCGAGCCCAGAGGTCAAATTGTCAGTCGCAAGGTTCGTTACAGTGAAGGGGTACCAGGACAGAATACCGGGCACTGTATCCTCTTGGTATGATCCTCTTGAATTTGTAGCTTTGACACCAAGATCCGTAAAGTACGGAGCTCGTCGAATGTACGGAATACGAGCTTACGCATTTTCTTTCTGTGATTACGCAGGGTGGCGCGTGGCAGACTCCTGGACCGTCCGGACATGGGCTGCGCGACGCTTCATAAGCTATGCCGCTGCGGACCCGGCAGTCAGAAGCACCCTTACCTAATACTCAAGCCGTGAGTACAAGGTAAGATGTCAGCCTTATAAGCTGTTTCTAGGCCTAAGTGCAGGCATTCGGCTCAAGCATTCCTGGAATGGAGCGTACTAGTGCAGTCTGACCGTGTGACAAACATCCGAGCACCTGGGACCAGTTGGTTTATCAGTAAAAGGGGCTTGGCTTCGTTTACGCTACCTGCAGCAATAATGTGGCACAACATTAGAGGTCGTTCGGACAAAACCGGTATGGCTGCCAAGACTGGTCTCCAGCAGCAGCTACAATCTGTACATCACCGAGCACAAACTTTGTCCGCCTTTCTGGTCCAGCTGATCAGCGACCAGTGCCTACGCATAAGACTCGAGGCCATCAGACTCCCGCTGTGCTAGATATTTCTACAAGCAGGCAGGCATACCTATAAGTGCTAGAGCCCCCTGCATGGCGGGTTTGACAGACAAAATCACCAGCAGCTACCCAGGTAGCAGCTCATGTCGCCATGACATCGGCTGGCTCCTTATGAGAATGGCGCGGCTGATCCGCCGGCCTATCCAAAGGGCTCGGGCTCGTGCCACCATCGGCCAGCTGCATTGCGCTGAGCTTCGGGATGAGCGCAATGTGGCACCCCTGCTTCTAAAGTCACTCCCGCGTTTCATTTCCACAGAAGCTAGGGTGGCATTCCCAATCGTCCCTCCAACCAAGTCCAGTTTGCCACCAATGCAGCTATCAGCCCTGTGATCCAACAACGCGCCCTAGTTTACTGTTCTGCGCCGCTCGCTGTACAGACCCTGGCGACCTTGTCCGCAAGGCGCTGATGCACAAATCTAAGCACGCGTCCCCCTCGGCAGTGTGGCCAGCTTTCAGCTCCATTTGCCGATAACCTCGCGTTTGGCAGAAGAGAAGGACTTACTAAAGTCACTGCCTTGCACTTTTTTCAATGGCGCCCTCTTTCGGACACCTCCGTACGCTTTTGCTCCTTGCGCTGCTGTCCACGACCGTGTCCAGCTCCAGCGCCGCGTGGTGGGGGGACATTCTGGCCCGCGTGGGGCCCCCCCGGAAACTGCTGCAGCAGGCGAATGTCCCAGTGACTGTGCAGTGTGTTAACATTCTGGACAACAACCAGATTGGGAACATCCCCAACTTGGACGTGGGGGCGATCCAGGCGATCGTATCGGCGCTGGGGGTCGGAGGGGCGCAGACGCCAACTGCCGTCCTGTTCAACGGTGAGTGCCGTTTGTCTTTCGGGTATTGCTGTGTTGCGGATGATGTCTGATGTTGTTTCCTTCACATTGAAGGGGGAGCAAGGTGCTGCCTTTGGGGTCTCAGATGGGAGAGAATAAACGGAAGGGGACTTTTGAGTGAATGTAGCTGGCAGCAATGAAACAGCCACTTTCCGGGATTACAATAACAACCATTGGGGGCAGCATTGTACTATTGCAAGGTCCAGGCTTTTGCTGGGAATCTCAATCAGCACATCAAGCTGGAACAGAATGAGCTCGCATCCAAGACGTAAGTCAGGGAGACCAGACTCTCTTACTCGGCAGTAGTGGCCCTCTGCTTCTCTAGTGCAGAAGGAGAAACTGTTGAGTACACAGTAGCACACCCAAATAAGAAGAAGGCCTCAAACATTTTTATTTACCATGTCTGCTGGTGAATGAACATCAAAAAGGCGACAGCTTGGCATTGGACTTCTCTTGATTGATTGCGCTGCTCTTCCGTTCAGTTCAGACGTTAAGGATGAGCAGATTGACGAGCTGAGCTAGGAGGTCAGAGGCAGAGACTGCTCTTCTCGTTGTCAAGCGTGCAAAAGCGCTCTTCTGGAGTGCAATGCTCTCTGTCATTATGTACAAAACCGCACCTAAGTCCAAACTGAGACTCACTGAACTTCGTAACAAGTGACTTTGAACCATTCTGTACTAGCTACTCGAAAACTTAATTTGCGCACGGTCGGGCTTCTGAAAACCCCAGTTTGAAAGCTGGTTCATGCTCTTCAATACATGGGGCCCCCTTCAGAGACTCACCTGAATAGACTGCTGCTTGCATGCACATTTCTTTAGGTGAGCAGTCTTTTTGGGTGCTCTTGAACCAGGACAGAAACAAGTCAACTGATGTGAAACTTACACAGATCTTGTCGATTAGCCCTTCAAACAACGAAGTCACGAGCTCTGAGACCCTCAACACAACGTGGACCCGAAAAAGTTCCCGATCTGAACTTTTTCGATTCTTGTCAACCACCGAACTTTGTTCAGTACGAGCCATGTCCTTAACATCAGAAGTTGCATTTCAGGCAGCGGCACGGCTCTGCAGAGCCTTGCCAGCTGGCATTACCGATATGTCCATCTTTCTGGCCCGTACCAGGATAGACCTTTGCTGACGTCCTCGGCATTCGGTGGTTTAAGGACCTAAACATGAGAATTATGGCAGCTCAGGCTTCAGATTTTTATGATAACGGTTCAATTTTCTGGCAATGCTCTCAGGTCAGCAGAGTGTCAGCAGGTGTGCAGCTTGATGGTTGCAGCCTAGAGTCTTCTAGTCCTGCCACGTGTCCTTGAGGTCGCTCTAATACTTTCTCTGTATCTCCTTAGGTGGATCGAGCAGTGATATGGCGAGTGTCAAAAAGACCAGAATTGCCCGTTTCGTCGCTTGTCAGCCTGTTCGCCTTCGATCGAATCATCCTTCTCCCATTGTTATGGAATCATTCATACGAGCAAAAAACACGCAGATTTTTCTGTGATTCTTGACAGGCTTTCGAAGCAGAGGCCCTTTTCAGGTGCAAAAAACTTAAACAGTACGAGCACGAATAGCAAAGGCCCTCTAATTCGTCAAGTGTCAGACGCGTTTGCTACGATATACTCTTGATCTGTCCAAGCCACCATAGTTTCAACCTTTGTCGACATCTCAGGCTCTCTCGTTTTGCCACGCGTCAAAATCCTCTTTCATCTCACCCGTTTCAGATGGTGTGTCCACCAACGACTGCGTGAACGACTTCGAGGCGAACAACAACGCGGTGTGTTCCTCCTTGCTCGGCGCTGTCAACATCGGGGGTCTGGGCCAGGGCACCCTCATCCAGTGCTTCCCGGCTTCCGGTAAGCTTGACCTACACATTTTCTTCATGACGGACTTATTGAGGAACACTAAGAGTCAGGTATAGTAAGCTCCAACTAACGTTAAATTCCTAACCCAACAAGTCACGTGCTCCGCACTCGTATCCATCCTAACCCCCAAACTAACCCCACCCGTCCCAAGCTGTCGAGCTTGTTATACTTGCCGCTTATCATTCGTAGATTAGTCCGAGGCTTTTTCTTCTCGACGAATCAAATCTAGCCGTTCGACCTGTCATTAAAGGCTGTCGCGTTGTCAAAAACGAAGTTGGGGGAGTGAATTGTGCATCTTCAATTAGCAGATGAATGTTGGCGAGTTCTGGGGGAGTGTCTTAGGGTTCGGCAGACCCCATAGCAGAGCGCTTGCTTCAATGGTCCGGACTGCTTCGCGGTTCGAATCTGGCCCGCTGAGCTCACAGTCTTGTGTCGATTGACCACGTTTTAGCCTGCCTTCTTATCTTCCCTTACCTCCTATTCTCACTTTCCCCACCTCTCCGTTTTCCCTGCGTTTGGAGTGTCTCTTATGAGTCTTTGAGCTGTGGCGACTTTACAAGTGGGATCAGACAGCTCCACATGTTTGGCTTACAGCTCAATGCGTCGTTTAGAATTCTGTCAGCGGTTGTACTTCTACTTGTCCACTGACTGCAACAACCGATCTAAGGGGATCCCACTCAATTCGTTCGGATGCGTCTTCATGCCTTCGATAAAGCCGGTCACAGCGCCAACTGGCGGATTAAGACAACGACTCTGTAAATCCGTCGTTCATGGATTCGGGACCGCAGAATGTTTGGGTTCTTAACTGAGCTTGTTTCTGGGGTACTGTTTCTCAACGCAGATACCAAACCCTCAGAACCCTACCAAATCTGACTCTGCCGAGCCGTCCTCGTTTTAAGTCATCGATTAAAATCAAGAACAACGAACGGGTCGAATCATCAAGCTTGGATCGGTAAAGTCCTCGCTTGCTATGATAATGCGGGACAGCTTCGATGCATAGTCATAATGACCGAACTGTGCCTCTTCTTGCAGGTGGAACACCTGCCCCGACGAATACCGGCTCCACAACCCCAGCCCCGACTAGCACGGATTCCACAACCCCTGCGCCGACTACCGCTGCTCCTATGACCCCGGCCCCAACAACTGCAAGCCCCGTAACCTTTCCTCCTGTAACCCTTCCCCCCGGTGTCACCCTTCCTCCGGGCGTAACCCTTCCCCCGACCAACCCCATACCTGCCCCCACGACCCCTGAACCGACCACTCAGGCCCCGGTAACTCCTGCTCCGACCACCGCTGCCCCAACCACTCCTGCCCCCACAACAGCTGCCCCAAACACCCCTGCCCCGACTTCTCAGGCCCCGGTCACCCCTGCCCCGACCACTCCCGAAA